TCTCACGGATTATCTTTGACAGAAAAAGTATCAAGTCATGAGTTTTACCATAAAAACATTCAGTCAAATTGGATCGAAAGAAATAAGACAGGAATGAAGCATACACCTGGTGATGCATCTCAGCAAGAGAACAAATAAATCCCAACATTTTTTCCTAGTATTTTACAAAAAAGGTAAAAACTGGGAATTAATTTGAAGTGTGTGAATTCAAGTAGGAATGTATCATTCAATAAATGTATTCTTAACCAGTTGTTTTGTAAAGAAACAATTTGCCTCCTTCATTCATCTACATCAGAGCTATTGGACTAAATTGCTCCGGGGGCCACAGTTACTGCAGGTCAACAGCACAGGGGCCAAACATCCAGCAATTAAAGTCATTATGTGAATAAAACAAGTATTACAAAGATCTGTTACCTTTGAAATAGTTTATTTTGCTGCATTTAACCATGAATAAAACATACAGAATCCTATGAAAGTAGTGATAATAAAACAATATCAAAAACAAATAATATTTTGACATCTCTGACTTGCCATATTTTTAAATCAATTTTATTTTCAATTTCACAATTTTTTATCTTCAACTGCTTGTAGTTTTAACTGTCTTGGATGTTCATAGAAATGTTTTTTTACCAGCTTCTTGCCAAGAATGTGATGTTTCTGTAGATACCCAACATGTCTATGTCTAACTAAAAGAACTTGTAGTAATTAAAGTAGAAAACTGGGGATTTTGGCTTAAGAGATGAATGAACCAATGAGCTGAACTTTTGCCATTCCAGCCCGCGAGCCGCCAGTTGAATAACCCTGCTCTACATAGAACTAAATGTGACAGTAGAAATAATTCATCTGACTGGTATGTTGACCTGTTAATTGTTGAAATATAAACATTAGGGGTTCACCGATGCAGCTTTCCATCTGATCACTGATCTTTAAAATGTCTAACCTGCCGATTCAGATTTTGGCCCATATTGATTTTTTAAATAGCTGACACCTTCAATGTTCCAGTCTTATTTTGTTGAAAAACACTGAACAATTACCTTGAAACAATGCAAACTTGTTTTAACTGGACATTATATAGTGCTCACAGCAGAGCAAAAGGTGACTGACTGGCTGATTTTCAGACCTTTGTGGATGTAGACAAGAAGTCAGATCTTATCCAAGTATCGGCCGATCTCCCAAAATTAAGGAAATTGATGCACCCCTAATAAACATTTATAAAACAAAACAAGTTATTTATTAATTATAATTATCAAGTTTGTTTTTCTATGCTGCTGTTGGCATTAGAACATGTTTTTTACTACAGGAACTAATGGACTGAACACACTTCATGCAAACTTTAGGCATGTATGATTATGGAGTATGACTCCAGAAAGATTATTTTGAGGGAAGAAAAGGTACTTACCTATGATAACACCCTAAATTACTCATCTCTCAAATCTGGTCATTGACAGTTTAAATGCTTCCAGGTTGATACAAACATTTTAATAGTGCCTTCATAATTTGGGTTATTTGTGGTCACACACATATTTTGTAGTTAAAGCTCTTGAAGCTATAAAAACTTCCTGGGTTCTTTAAAGATTAGACAACAGCAGTATTTCAAGGTAGAAATGGAGATCTTACTTTGTCACTTTGTTCCAGTTCATAGTTCCTGCGGTGTTTTTGCACATTAATGCCTCTGGCACAGAAAATAATCTGTAACTCAAACTGCTTTTAAGTCTAGATTTATATTTTAAACTCAACAATTTAAGAAACCTGGTTTTGTTTTGTTTTTTTCCACCCAAAATTCCTATAAATATCATGGAGATATAGTCTGTAATTATAGTAGCATACCATCTTCTGTTTAACTTTATGAAAGGGCTACTGTATTTATGTGTGTATAAATGTGACCCCACACCCCCATTTTTTACTTAAAATGCATAAATCTAATCCTCGTGTATAAAGCTACCCCCAGTTTCATACAGACTTCAGTATTTTTCAGCCTTTGCAGTGCACCTTTTGAAAAAGAAATGGCACATGCTACTGCATGCGGCTGAAAACGATCCTCTCCCAGAGCAGAAGGCGGTTGTTCAATTAGCAAGATGGACAGCATCAAGGAGCAGCTCATCTGGTCCTATTGAGCACACAAACTGATGTCCACATATTTCTATCTCTGTGGTTTAAAATGAAGAAAAAAAAGTTTGATATACAACAAGTGAAATAAAACTACTGCTGTTGTTTTTATGCTTAGTTATGTGTGACATATTCTACAGTGGAGTACAGGGAGATAAATGATTTATCCCCCACAACACAGTATTTCAGTTGTATATGAGAAAATATTCAAATTGATTGCAGTAGTACATTAGCAAACCAGGTGGAACTTGATGCCAAAGCATCGATTGGTATTCCTCTGCCTGCCCTTGATGTGTCTCCCTTAGAAGAAAAGAAAATGCCAGTTTTTTATTACCAATCATCATAAATGACCTTGACCTTTGCCCCTTTGCCCAAATCTAATCGGTGTACTACCCCAATGGAGTCACTATGCCTATTTATAAGTAAATATATAAATTCATTTTTACTCCCCCCAACTTTATGAATGATTTTTGTGGTTAAATTTTTTGCATTATACACGCACAAATATGGTCACTTCTTGCTGGTTGGCTACGACACCATCAGCTGATTGTTGTTTTTATGTATTTGTCTTTAATTGTCTTGTATCTGGCTTCTTGAGCAGCTAATCTATCTTGTGTTTTTGTTTCTGAGACACTTTTAAAGTCAATGTTGTGTTCTCCTGGAATCACAAGCCTGTTGTTATTGGCTGTGCTGCACTCCAGGAGCTGCAACGGTTACAGCAGTTACATTATTCTGCTTTGTGTTCCTTAGATGTTTTTTTTTTGTTTGTTTACTTTTTTGCATTGAAGTAAAGATGATGGTTTTATTTATTAAACATGTTAACCTTGTTATGTTTGTGCAAACCCTAAAGCTGAACTAAAACGCTGGACCTCATAATAATATATGTATTAAAAATTTCCAGTTTAAATTAGAAAGCAATAGTTTGAATTTGAAACTTCTTTACTCACTTTATCAGGTGTAAAAATTATTTAATCTCATAATTTTTTTAGATAGAAGTTTAAAAATTGATTTAATCAGTGCAAAAGATTATTTTTTTTTATCTCTGGTATTGCAGGGCTCTAGAGTGCGACCAATTTGGTCGCAAATGCGACCTGATTTCCTAATAATGTGACTAAAAAAAATGTCCGGTCGCACTGGTGCGACCGATCGTTCAAGGGGGAGGGGGAGCGGTCGCCCACTGAAAATAAGTTTCCATGTTCCATAAAAAATTAATCCAGCAGTATCAATGGTCGCCTGCCGACTGTCTCATCTCTCCTAATAATACTGCGCTCTGCTCGCAGCTCCACTCCACACCTCCCGCGTACACACGTTTGTTGTTCTATCTTCATGGGGACTTTGCATTGGCTTCCATTCATTTCCCCGACAGTTCTACAGCCAACCATAACCTCCCAGGTAGACTACACACCTGACCCAAACCCTAACCTCACCAGGCTGTGTGTATCAGGGAAATGGTCAATAATTGTCCCCACCGTGAAGCAAAAATCTGTACACACAAACACACGTGCGCACACGCGTAGTGAAACAACTGTAGGTTTTTTTTGTTTGTTTGTTTTTAAATCCAGATCGGAGTCTGAAAAACAGTTCTTTCTTGTTAACTGTGGAGATGAAAAGAAGGTGTGGACAGTTGCTCGCTCGTCCATCTTGTTAATTTAACAGTCGGGGTCTACTCTGTGAGCGCAGCAGATCATTTCAGCAGCATGAGGAAGCTCACCTGTATGGCAGGCCGATTTTGCACTTAATCGACTTCACCACAGTTACATTCCAAGTATCTGAAAAAGGTTCTTCTGGGTCTCAGGAGGATAAGACTATAAGATATTTAAGTGAAATAATATAAGATAATAAGATTCAACTAATGCTAATGAAATTGCAGACTTTAATGTGTTTTTATTTATAAAAATCTGCACAACCTTTTAATATCAGTAATATTTCTGTTATTAATCAATATTCTCTGTTCATCATTCTGGTTTATCCAAGGCCAAAGATCAATAGGGCCAAACTACAGCAACTGTCCATCTGAGGGGCTTGTGTCTAAAAAAAATTTAACCATGAAATGTTTAAGATGTTTATAAGACGTTCAGCCCTTAAACATTTGCACTTAGAATTTTTTGTAACCACTTTAAATACTTTTCAGTAAGTTATAGGTCTTGTACAATTCTGGTTCAAATAAAGAACTTTATGTTTACTAGATTGTTAACTAATTATTTTCGAGTTAATGTTGCCTTAATGAACAGTGATTAAAAAAATAACCTGTAAAACTCTGATGTTAAATGCGACGTGGTTGAAAATTTGGGTGCACCTAAGTTTTGTGCTGGTGCGCCTAAGAAAAAATGTTAGGCGCACCGGTGCAACCAGTGCAAAAAGTTAGTCTAGAGCCCTGTATTGCATATAAAAATAGGACTTCCAAACAGCCTGCAGAAATAAATTGTTTTAGAATTTTGAATAAACCTGAAACAAATAATCTATATATAATAATTTAAAGAACAAAACAGAATCCTAGCTGTAAAATCTGGTCTTAATTTCTTAAAACCTTTGGAGAAATACACTACATGAGCTGTTAAATGATGAGCTCACTGGAAACCAAAGCATTACAGAACAACTTATAGTTTTCTGTTGGTATTTGTCAGATTTTATAGTAATCTGCTAATTATTAAAGCTTATTTTTTTAAAAAAAATCCATTTTGTCACAGTTTGTATTTAAATTGTTTTTCTGCATGCTGATGTTAGTAATATTTTGTTTAACTAATGCAGTTTTATTCCAGCTGTTCTTGTCAAATGTCCTAAAGTTTGATAAATCAGTCTCCTCTCTTTTTATCCAGCCTCTCTCCCTGCTGTGTTCTCTCCCCTTACCCCTGCATCACCCAGATTTTAACCACTGCAGTGTTTCTTTAACATAGGGATATATTCCAAAAAGCAAATGGGAGATGGACACATCTGAAGCCAAACTTGGTAGGTATTCTTGTTCTGCAAATCTTTATTTCATAACATCAGTTTCGATTCTGTATAGTTCCGAGGCTTTTGCATCAGTACAACACACAAAAAAATAATGATTGGTTTGATTTTACATGTTGTAACTGTGGCTGGGTAATATGGTTGAAGTTTCGAATCTCATGCTTGTTTGCATGCAGTTCGTCCAAAATATTTCCAACAGTATTGACTTTGATTTTCTTTTAACAAACTCAGACGACAGGTCTCTTTTTTTGGAAAATGACCTGTTTAATTCTTGTCATCATTATCTAATATGCCATAGAAAAAAAAGACAGAAAAATGTCCTGATGTATCTCAGTAATCCAGGTAGAAAAATGAAAAAGAAAAAATAAGTAGGTCCTCTGGATGGGTTCTTCTTTAGTGAAACGTTTCGTCTCTCCTCCAAGAGACGTCTTCAGTGTGGATAAATATATAAAGTTCACACAAGAGGGTGTGAAAGATGGCAGGTTGGCATTCCTGGACTGTGATTACTCAGTTTCGGATGGAGGACGGTTAGAAACTGACGTGTATCGCAAACCCACCCATACAGACCAGTATTTGCGTTTTGATTCCCATCACCCACTGGAGCACAAGTTAGGAATCATCAGAAGTCTGTACCACAGAGCAGACAGTGTCCCCACAAACACAGGAGCCAGGGAGAAAGAGAAATCACACACAAGACAGGCCCTGGAGCAGTGTGGTTATCCTGACTGGGCTTTTCTGAAAGCAGACAAGAAACTCAAACAGGATTCCAACCAACAACCAGGTGAAAATGAAAATGAAGACCCTAAAACCAAACCAGTCGTCATTCCATATGTGGCGGAAGTTTCAGAGAAACTGAGACATTTATTCTCTAAACATGACGTCCCAGTGGCTTTCAAACCCCAAAACACGTTACGACAAAGATTAGTTCACCCCAAAGATCCAGTTCTCCGGCAAAAACAGAGTAATATAGTGTATGCTGTTAAGTGTCAGGAGGACTGTGACCAGTTATACATCGGGGAAACAAAACAGCCACTGTTCAAAAGAATGAACCAGCACAGACGAGCTACATCATCAGGTCAGGACTCTGCAGTTTTTACTCATCTACAGGCCAGCGGTCACTCTTTCAGGGATGAAGATGTTTTCATCCTTGATAGAGAGGAACGTTGGTTTGAGAGCAGAGTAAAGGAAGCCATCTTTGTGAAGAAAAACTGTCCACCATTAAACAGAGGTGGAGGCCTTCGTGTCCAGTTGTCCTCCTCCTACAATGCTGTTATTGCCAGTATGACTCAGGCCCCTGTGAGCAAAAGATGTGAATCAGGGCCCCAACGATAGTCAGGTGATGGGGCACATGACCCTCTACGAACAGTGGAGCTAATCAAGCCTATTATTAGGTGATGGTCCTCTTTTGCCTGTGACTAACCTGTATGTCCACCATGTGGAGGCAGTGCTTATGGCTGAGTTCACCTGAAATTCATCAGACTGAAGAAGTCTCATGGAGGAGAGACAAAACGTTTCACTAAAGAAGAACCCATCCAGAGGACCTATTTTTTCTTTTCGAAAGACAGAAAAATATGCACTTTCAGTTACCACAAATTTTTTTCAGGATGCAACAAGATGGTTAGCCTGCTTTAAATTTCAAGAAGACAGTTTTTTTTATTTGTTCAGTCAGTATTTAGGATAACTGTTGGTCTGCTGAGCCCATGTGGTCAAGTTTCTTCACTGTGATATAAAGGTCAAAAACTTAACCTAAATTTAATATATTGCCCAGCCCTAATCATTACTGTTATCACGTGTTTGTATAAAAAGCTGGAGAAAATGTCCTGTTGGTGAGTTATGTGTTGATTTCTATTGACTTTCTGTTTCTGTGTTAACACCCTAATAAAAACAACACCCAACATTTAAACAAAAAAGCTCTGGGGCCTGATGTATAAACGGTGCGTATGCACAAAAAAGTTGCATGTGCCAGGTTCTATGCCCACGTTGTATCAAAACCAACGTTGCGTGAAAGTGTGCGTATATTTACGCACACTTTTCACCTGCCTTGAGAATGTGCGGCAGCCACGCAAAGTTTTTCCAGTCGACAGTTTTAACCCACAAAATCATGAATCTGACCGGAATCCACAGAAATATGACTTTGTTGTGTTTTCTGGATGTAAGGAGCGTCTGAACACGGTGTTAGATTTTTATTATAGTTTGCGTTTTTATTGTTTAAACTCTTTGTTTGTGAGAATTGTATAATTCTCCTGCATCTAAAAATCATTTCTGATCCCACAGAGAGGACAATCTGAGGAGAATCTCACAGGCTGGACACTTTTTTACATATTTAAATGGAGGTGTGTCAGGGGAGGTATCTCACATGCGCTAAGTTCCACGTTCATTGGGATGTATAAAGGAAAGGTGCGCAGGAACTTGCGTGCGCACTGTTTTATACATCTGAATATTTTGGTGCGGCGCACTTTTCTAAATTTGTCCGTACGTCAACTTTTAGTCTGAAAGCTGCGCACTCCTTTATGCATGAGGCCCCTGGTGCTGAACATTTTGAGTATTTCTAAAAGAGAAGACAAATGCTGAGATTGGATGGATGAAGTTTTTTTCTTATTTGAGCGCACAAAAGACCTGAACAGTAATCTTCCCTTTATGAAGACAAGTTGGACGGTCTGATGATCGGTGGGAAGAGGAAACGTGAAGGTGACCACCTGTCAGGCTTAGAGGACTTGCTTCAACTGCCAGACGACTACGCCACACGCACTTCTGAACCCGGGAAGAAACGGGTAAATTTTAGATGCAACACTACCAAATTGTTTGATGCTGTTGCAAAGTAAGGATGTAAATGTAAATCTAAAAAGTGAAGGATTGTATTAACACCTTCTGTAACATGTTATTCAAATCTAAACTAATTTCATACTCATAATGCAACACTGGTTTTCTTATTTCCCTCAGGTTCGATGGGCTGATCTTGAAGAGAAAAAAGATGCAGAGCGAAAACGCGCCATCGGATTTGTGGTGGGTCAAACGGACTGGGAAAAAATTACTGATGAGACCGGTCAGCTGGCTCAACGAGCTCTCAACCGCACAAAGTATTTCTAAGAGGAGCATCTTTTATTTTGGTTCTTAAAAAGGTACGCAAGTTGCTCTTTATAATACATTCCTAAAGTAGTCAGATGGTTAGGTAATGAGTTGTATCTTTTTCAAAAACATTTAACATTTAATCTGTCATTTTAAGCAAGAAACTCTCAGAAGTTTGTAGTTTTTTTTATTTTTATTATTTGCTGTGGTCAATTGGGGGAACTTGCATAAATTTTCTTAATAAATTTCTGACTATTTGAGATTTTGTTAGTTAACAGAGGTAAAGGAGTCTATCATTTTATAACACCTGTACTTATGTTATTGTGTGCATAAATCAGACAAATTTGACACAAAATAATTTATCTCTTCACAGGTATCCAGAATGTGAACATGCTACAACTTACTGATGGTGAAGCAGACATCTAGGTGTTGTTACCAATAATTACCCGTTTTTAGTCAGTATGCTAAGATCAACTTAAGATTTTCTGTTTTTCCTCTCTAAATACAATTAGAATTTGTAGAATTCGTAATTTGTGTTTCTTTTGGTTAAGCATCCATTTGTGTTCGTTTTCTACTTTATCAAATTCATGTACTGTATAATTGTACCACTGTTACTCAGTCAATGTGTAGTTCAAATAAACAATAAAGGTTTCACATGAATAACTTCTCAAACAAGCTTTTAGTTGGGTTTTATGATGAAAATGTTTATTGCAATGTCTGTGTGACAGTATGTCAGTCTGACCTATATTTGGGATGACTGAAGTTATACCAGTAATGTTTGTGTATCTTGTTCACCTGGTAATTCTTCAAATAAGGAAAATTCAAAGTAAATTGTAACACAACTTAATGTCTCACGGTTTCTTATCTCTTCTCTAAAACTAATTGTTGCCAATTTTTGATCCACAAGCTTTGAACTCCTGAATTTGGATATTTTTTAGAACCTCCAGTAAATCTTCTCAGGTGCCAATATTTTGAACTTGATCCCTCCACCATTAAAATTTCTAAACAGCGGCATATTATTACCATTCAATGTTCAAATACTGAAGCTTTGACAGTTTCAATTTCATAATTTGTTGGTGATGCAAGAAAATTCAGAGGATCAATTAAAATGTAGAATTTACATTAGTTTGATCCGTGCAACTGAAGAACACCATCACATCATTTTAAAAGTATTTTTTAACTTTGTGGGTGATTTAAAGGTTTCTTTACATAGATCAATGTTTTTTCCTTTTTCTTTATTCTCTCAAATTTGGTTTGTCTCTCCCTGTACTTGTGTTTCTGTCAAGTCTCTCCATGTCTCTCTCTTGGATTGGGCACTTTAGAAGGAATCGTTGCTCTGTTTTTACATTCTGGTTTCTGGTTTGTCTTTATGACAGCCCTGAGATAAGCGTTGTTTGTTACATGTTATAGTAAAATTTTACTCAACACCTTTATCACAAAAAATTAGAAGTACATAGAAGCATGAAGTAGTTATTCCATTGAAGGCTTTAAGTATGGAAGGACTAAAACACTGTGACAGAAGCAGTCATAATGACTCTGTAGACTTCAACTTTAATCAGAAAAATATCTGAATTATTACTTGTTAAAGCCTGTAGTATTAAATCCACAGCTATAATGGGATTTCTGTTTGTTAGTAGTTCAAACGATGCCTAAAACATCAAAGCATTCCAGTTCATTCACTGCAGTTAGCTAATATTCACAGGGAATACTATTTCTGTACTTATATTTCTCAAAAACTCTTATTTTCAGTCCATACTGATGAATTAAGCAACTCAGTTTCTTCACTTTTGAAAGTTATAATTGAGCACTAAAAACTGAGTGTGGACTACAAGTTGTGAATGAAGCAGAAAACTTCTGTTTCTTAAATATCTGGTGTAAAAATGCTAAATCATTGTGTTCCTAATGTATTGTACCATGTAAGGAAAATTGAGAACCATCTTTTTTTTGTTTGATATCATCCAAGACTTTGTTCTATGATACTGGCTCTAAACTAAATAGCTTGTTACAGATTGCATCTTTAGTCCACTCTATAATGGACTTCTGATTTTTCTAATATTGTTGTCAAACACTTAAATGCAGCTTTTGTTCATTTCTCAGCCCAGCTCTCCTTTGACTTTTTTGATTATCAGAATCCATTAAGGGTCTGTTGTGCCTCATTAAAATAAAAAGAAAGCTCACTCACTTTGAAATAAACTGGTCCACGTTTTCAAGTCTACGCCTAAAATACAACCGATGACGCTGGCTATATTTATCTTGAAATTGAAGCATTGGAGGAACCAAAAAATTGTACTTTCACACACTTGAATTTATTCTGGATGATCGACTTCACTGAAATAATTGAAGACCAGAGGCATCAGCAAATGAAAAAGCTCCTGATGAAGACATTTATTTTGTCTGTTCGGCCAGTAAATGAAGGAAGCAATCCATCCATATGGTAAGTATGAATGAGAAACTGTTTTATCTGTTTTTAAAAGAACTGAAGACTAAAATTGTAAAGCAAGAATAAATTTAGATACTGTTATTTTAAAAGATAATTGTACATAATTCTGTATACAAATAAAATACATTGTTAAACTAAATAAAACATTTCCATCCCTTGGTGTCGACTACATTTTTTTGCTTCTAATACCAAATAAATATTCTTAGAGTTGAAGATATTTCACATATAACTTATCACTCAGATTATGTTAAGACCATTCATATCAAACAAAACTAAAGCTAATATATCACTGCGCTGTGAATGTTAAATGTTTTTACAGAAGTCACAAACTGTTTTTTTGCAAGGATTCTCAGTCTTGTCACTTAAATTTTTGAACAGGTTTGAAATTTTATGACAATTTTATTTTATTCTTTAAATAGCTTCAAAATTGTGCCATTTCCATGTGAACACTCTCTGGACACATTAGCATTTTTTTAAATGTTGATTGTGGAAAATCAACATGAAACAAACTGTTTATGCCACTAGTTTTCAAACCAGGGAAAGTTGCTAGATAAGAAACAATGAAATATCTTGGGCTATATTCACACTGCAGGCAAATGCCACCCAAGTCCAATTCCCCACATACACCACACATGCTACTTATGACTGAAAATTGTAGATTCACACTGAAGGCATCAAAACTATTAACACATGGAATTACATACTTAACAAAAAAGTGAAACAACTGAAAATATGTCATTCTAGGTTCTTCAAAGTAGCCACCTTTTGCTTTGAATACTGTTTCACACACTCTTGGCATTCTCTTTGATGAGCTTCAAGATGTAGTCACCTAAAATGGTTTTCCAACAGTCTTGAAGGAGTTCAGACAGATGCTTAGTACTTGGCCCTTTTGCCTTCACTCTACGATCCAGCTCACCCCAAACCATCTCAATTGGGTTCAGGTCCGGTGACTGGAGTCCAGGTCATCTGGTGCAGCACCCCATCACTCTTCTTGGTCAAATAGCCTTTACACAGCCCAGAGGTGTGTTTGGGGTCATTGTCCTGTTGAAAAATAAATGATGGTCCAACTAAATGCAAACCGGATGGAATAGCATGCTGCTGCAAGATGCTGTGGTAGCCATGCTGGTTCAGTATGCCTTCAGTTTTGAATAAATCCCCAACAGTGTCACAACCAAAGCAACCCCACACTGCCTCCATGCTTCACGGTGGAAACCAGGCATGTAGAGTCCATGGGTTCACCTTTTCTGTGTCGCATAAAGTGGTGGTTGGAACCAAAGATCTCAAATTTGGACTCATCAGACCAAAGCACAGATTTTCACTGGTTTAATGTCCATTCCTTGTGTTCTTTAGCCCAAACAAGTCTCTTCTGCTTGTTGCCTGTCCTTAGCAGTGGTTTCCTAGCAGCTATTTTACCATGAAGGCCTGATTCACACAGTCTCCTCTTAACAGTTGTTCTAGAGATGTGTCTGCTAGAACTCTGTGTGGCATTGACCTGTTCTCTAATCTGAGCTGCTATTAGCCTGCGATTTCTGAGACTGGTGACAGATGAACTTATCGTCTGCAGCAGAGGTGACTCTTGGTCTTCCTTTCCTGGGGCAGTCCTCGTGAGCAGCCAGTTACTTTGTAGCGCTTGATGGTTTTTACGACTGCACTTGGGGACACTTTCAAAGTTTTCCCAATTTTTCAGACTGACTGACCATTTCTTAAAGTAATGATGGCCATTTGTTTTTCTTTACTTAGCTGCTTTTATCTTGCCATAATACAAATTCTAACCGTCCATTCAGCAGGACTATCAGCTGTGTACTGTATTCACCTTCTGCACAACACAACTGATGGTCCCACCTCCATTTATAAGGCAAGAAATCCCACTTATTGAAGTGAAAACCATTTCAGGTGACTACCTCTTGAAGCTCATCAAGAGAATGCCAAGAGTGCGCGAAGCAATAATCAAAGCAAAAGGTGGCTACTTTGAAGAACCTAGAATATGACATATTTTCAACTGTTTCACACTTTTTTGTTAAGTATATAATTCCATCCATCCGTTTTCTGCCGCTTATCCGGGATCAGGTTGCGGGGGCAGCAGCCTAAGTAGAGAGACCCAGACTTCCCTCTCCCCAGCCACTTGGGCCAGCTCGTCCGGGGGAATCCCAAGGCATTTCCCAGGCCAGCCGAGAGACATAGTCCCTCCAGCATGTCCTGGGTCTTCCTCTGGGCCTCCTCCCAGTGGGACGTGCCCGGAACATCTCACCAGGGAGGCGTCCAGGAGGCATCCTAACTAGATGCCCGAGCCACCTAATCTGGGTCCTCTCGACGTGGAGGAGCAGCGGATCTACTCTGAGTCCCTCACGGATGACCAAGCTTCTCACCCTATCTCTAAGGGAGAGCCCAGACACCCTGCGAAGGAAACTCATTTCATTTGCTTGTATCCACGATCTCGTTCTTTCGGTCACTACCCAAAGTTTGTGACCATAGATGAGGGTAGGACCAACCGGTAAACCAAGAGCTTTGCCTTCTGGCTCAGCTCCCGCTTCACCACGACAGACCAGTACAGCGCTCGCATCACTACAGATGCAGCAACAATCCGCCTGTCGATCTCCCGCTCCATTATTCCCTCATTCGTGAACAAGACCCCTAAATACTTAAACTCCTCCACTTGGGGCAGAACCTCCTCCCCGACCCGGAGACGGCATGCTACCGGTTTCCGGCTCAAGACCATGGCCTCGGATTTGGAGGCACTGATCCTCATCTCGGCTGCTTCACACTCTGCTGCAAACCGCTCCAGCGAGTGCTGGAGATCACGATCTGATGAAGCCAATAGGACCACATCAACCGCAAAAAGCAGAGATGCGATCCTAAGGTCACCAAAAAGGATCCCCTCAACACCTTTGCTGCGCTTAGAAATTCTGACCATAAAAGTTATGAACAGAATCAGTGATAAAGGGCAACCTTGGCGGAGTCCAACTCTCACCGGAAACAAGTCCGACTTACTTCAGGCAATGTGGACCAAGCTCTGGCACCAGTCATACAGGGACCTAACAGCCCATTTCAATGGGCCTGGTACCCCATACTCCCAGAGTAGCCCCCACAGGAGTACCAGAGGGACACGGTCGAACGCCTTCTCCAAGTCCACAAAACACATGTAGACTGGTTGGGCAAACTCCCACGCACCCTCCAGGATCCTGCTGAGGGTGTAGAGCTGGTCCACTGTTCCAAAACCAGGACGAAAACCACACTGCTGTTTCTGAATCCGAAATTAGACTATCCGACGGACCCTCCTCTCCAGAACCCCCAAATAGACCTTACCAGGGAGGCTCAGAAGTGTGATCCCCCTATAGTGGGAACACACTGCGGTCCCACTTTTTAAATAGGGGCACCACCACCCCGGTCTGCCAATTCAGGGGAACTGCCCCCGATTTCAATGCGACATTGTAGAGTCATGTCAACCAATGCAACCCCACAACATCCAGAGCCTTAAGGAACTGCGGGTAAATCTTATCCACCCCCGGCACCTTTCCATCGAGTAGCTTTTTAACCACCTCGGTGACCTTGGCACCAGAGATTGGAGAGTCCAACCCTCCCTCCCAGCCATGCCTCTCCAGGTCTCACTGTCATTACCCACGTGAGCGTTGAAGTCCCCCAGCAGAACGAGGGAGTCCCCGTTACGAGCTCTCTCCAGCACCCTTTCCAAGGACTCCAAAAAGGGTGGGTAATCTGAACTGCTGTTAGGCGCATAGGCACAAAGAACAGCCAGGACCCGTCCCCTCACCCGTAAGCGGAGGGAGGCTACCCTCTCGTTCACTGGGGTGAACCCCAACGTACAGGCACCGAGATGGGGGGCAATAAGTATGCCCACTCCTGCTCGGCGCCTCTCAGCATGGGCAACTCCAGAGTGGAAGAGTATCCAACCCCTCTCGAGGAGACTGGTTCCAGAGCGGTGCGTCGAGGTGAGTCCAACTATATCTAGTTGTGACCTCTCAACCTCACACACCAGCTCAGGCTCCTTCCCCACCAGAGAGGCGACATTCCACATCCCTTGAGCCAGCTTCTGTAGCCGAGGATCGGACCGCCAAGGTCCTCAACCTTTGCCCAGCACACATTGCACCCGACCCCTACGGCCCCTCCCACAGTTGGTGAACCCATGGGAAGGGGGACCCATGTCTCCTCTTTGGGCTGTGCCCGACCGGGCTCCATGGGTGAAAGCCCGGCCACTAGGCGCTAGCCAGCGTGCCCCAACTCCAGGCCTGGCTCCAGAGTGGGGCCCCGGTGACCCGCGTCCGGGCGAGGGAACACTGAATACATTTATTGTGTTCATCATAGGGGTCTTTGGGCTGCACTTTGTCTGATCCCTCACCTAGGACCTGTTTGCCTTGGGTGACCCTACTGGGGGCATGAAGCCCCCGAAAACATAGCTCCTAGAATCATTGGGACACTCAAACCTCTCCACCACGATATATAATTCCACATGTGTTAATTCATAGTTATGCCTTCCGTGGGAATCTACAATTTTCATAGTCATGAAAAAAAAGAAAACTCTTTGAATGACAAGGTGTCCAAACTTTTGGTCTGTACTGTGTGTATATGTGTGTGTATATATATAAAAATACACACGCACACATATGTATGTTTAAATGTGTTAAAACTGAACCGCCTACAGTGTTTTTAGTCTATTTTACAGTATAAGTAAATGTTAAACAATGTCTACTTTGCAAGTAATCATGGATCCCTTTAAAACTAGGTCAGTAGATTAAAAACAAATGTGGGAGGGGCTTTCAAGATGGTCTGAGGCAAGTATTGTGTGTGGAGGTGGGCAACAAAATGTGTGGCCTACAATAGTTTTGCAAGCCACACAAAAAAGACTGGCCAGAAACACGCAGTATTTAGGGTCTACAACTTTAAATTGTACCAATAAAATAGCCTAATAACTTGCATAAATGCTGATGTTGGCTGCTTGTAAATGGTCAGTTTTAGATGATTCTTACATTTGAACTTTTTGATTTGATCACTTTTCAAGAAAGTAAGTCCACATTTTCTTAGCGTTTGTGGCAGACACTGTTCCTTGTTTGGTTTATTCAGAGTAATTTCTTTTAAATTCTGGGGGCACATCACTGTCCAGTTTGCAGATCACCTTGTAGATGGTTTTCTTCCAGGATGGATCATGATCTTTGCCCACCGAAATTGCGATGTAAAACTCCCTCAGTGTAATCTCAGCCACTTCCAGGAATCTCTCAGGGACCTAAGAATCCATTTGAGAAGATTGGGGTGAATAGAAGAGTTAGACTTTTAACATGCATTTTGTTCCAACTAATAGTTTGATGGATTGGCATCACATTTTAGATCATTACTTTCTGGGCCTGAATATCCAGGTAAGTAACAAAACAAGGCTGCCGAAGGACTGCTGCAAAAAATGAATAAATTCAAACCACCTTAAATATAAAGAATAAATCAATGATCAACACATGTGGTTCCCAAACTTTTCGTCTTCTGGCCAACAAAAAACTGGGGAATGGGCAACACTGAGTGATTTTTAAAAAAATCTAACTATAGACAAGTTTAACAATGGCATAAGATCAAAAGTGGTCTCAGTAATTATTAGCTTTTTTAATAGTCATTTTTGATCTGATGCTCTTTTTTGTGGTCTCCCAACATACCAGCAGGGTACCAAATCCAGCTTAAAAAATATTCACAATGTTCAACATAATGAATGTTGAGTATAGAAAGCATTATTTGGATGGTTGAAAGCAATTAGTTTTACAATTTGAGTGCAATTTCAAGTTCTGTATAAACTGGGTTCTGTCATTACCTGCTGGGTTTTACAGATTTGGCCTGTGTCTCCAAAAGAAAACTAGCCTAAAGGTATTTACCTGCCTGGGAATGTTTATTTAATGGTTTCACCAATAAGAATGTCAACTCCTAAACCAGTTAAACTATGGTATGAGGTTTACATGTGATTAATATACTTTTAGAATAACTTGACATTAGAAAAATTCAAGCAATTCTAAAAGTGTGGGGTGGGGGGTGTTAATTTATGTATACACCCACAACAATAATGAAGACAATCGTGATCATGTGTTGGCAATATTTCCCAAGACTCATTGGATGTACATTCACAACAGTTTAACTTGAAAAGTTGACCAAATTTTAGATGGTCGCCTCAGCTAAACTGCTCTTGGTAAACAAAAAATATCTGATTTTATTATTTTTACAAGTATTGAGCTAGAATTAAGTGTGGTAGTAGCTGAGAGTCAGCCTCGGTAAAAACACTGAGCAGATTCTGTGACATCTGTGTTAAGTCAATTTCAGACTTTTAAAAAGAGGGGTTCAGCTAATCCTTCAAGGTTGTGTGGAGTATCTATGAGCCAGAAATATGCACGTCTTTTTTTTTGCAAGTCCAAGTCAAGTCTCAAGTCTTTGGGTCCAAGTCAAGTCCAATTCTTTGACCAAAAATCCAAGACAAGTATCTTGAGTTGACCTCAAGTCCATGTCTAGTTGCATGTATTAAATGGCAGTTTGATCAAAGGTATTCTAACTAGATTATAGTCTATAATACTATATTTTAACAAAATATTAAAACATAGTATTACGTTTTAATAGTACTATTAAAACAATATTGTTTTAAAAAATACAGATAAGGTTAAGGTTGAAATAACAAGCATTTAGAGTATTAACTGTATTTTGCACTTGTCTTACAAAAATGTACTGTAATTATACTGTAATTATATCTTGCCATTGACAAAGAACAAATCCAACAAGTCTGCTACTGATTTTACAATAAAATAATAGAAAAAATATTTTTAAATGCGTAAAAGCATGCCAGTGAAGATGATGAACCAGAATCCTTAAAAGTAAAAGGGCTGCACAAGTCATCACAAAAACAAATTTTGGATTTGGACTCCACACTGCATTTTGCCAGTCTGTTGTCATGGCATTGAATAAATTCTCTGTAAGCAAAGCTTATAATGAATGCCTGCCATGCTGAAGCTCTGTCATGTACGGTACACGTCATTAACATTGGACGGTGCTGGCCCCTCCCATTTTCAGATGATGAGGGGAGAAGAGCATATGGAAAAATTATTCTAACTTTAATCAAGAGCATATATTTTCAATTTGAGAGCAGGAGTAAATGTCTTTGCTCTTAAAACTTTATGTATTTGTTCTCAAAGGAGTGGAGCATGGATGGGCATTGAGGGAGTGAGAATCGTGAGCTGGGCAGTGAAAAGACTTGCATTGTTCGAGTCTCGAACCACAAGTCAAGTCTAAGTCTCTAATAGTAGGGACTCAAGTGCGACTCAAGTCCAAGTCAAGAGTCCTCATCTTTGCTATGAGCAGTCAGTGTCTTACGTGAAGCAGTCAGATCAGTCTTATTTTGGAGAATCTGTCTAATTCTTGTTGGGGGAATAAAGCTAACAACTACCAGAGCAGGACTTTTAAAAAAATGTTCACGATTTAAAGCAACTCAAACACTTTCAGTTTGAGAAAATTTCTTACTTATATCTTACGTTTGTATGGTTAAATTAATGTTTTCTACACATACTGAAGCTACATTTTCTTTAGCCAATACCATGACCAAACGTGAGGAAACTGCTGAGTAGTGTTACATAAGAGAACAGGAAACAAACAAACCACACATAAAGCAAAGTTAGTGAAACAGAAAAGTCAAATTTATTAAATAAGTCTGTATGATATAAGATCCAAACTCTAGTTTCCTAAGTGAAAGTTATTTGTGGGAAATACTCATTCAACAAAGCCTTTTCTAAAAAATAAAATGTTTTTACTGTTTTGTTTTATCATTCCTACTGACAAAGATATGAAGCATCTTCCATCTGGGCAAAATGAGTTTTACAAAGTATTTAAAATAAACAAAATGGTGCTTTCTTAAAAGGTTTTGAAATCTCAGTCTACCTTCTTTTTCCCTTCATCAAACTGTACCGCAACTTTATTTCATTAATGTTAATTTTGTTTGAATTAGTAGTAAAGGGAAGCTAATAGTGTAAAACACGAATAGGAGATTTAAGTCAAACTCAAATCATAGCCTACAGTTTTTTATTTTTTTATTTTTTTACATTTCCCTGGTGAGGTATTTTTCTTAATTCAACTATTTCTAATGATTTTTGAAAGTATTGAGCTCTAATGTTAACTTGAAAAAGTTTCACAATTCCTCTTCCCACTCCGTCTAAAAAATATAGAATTGGATTTTATTTGCCCGTCTGGATAAATTTGCAGGAGGGGAAATTAAGTTTGGATAAACTTTAGTAATGTCTAATATTGCTCCAGTAGATGGTTCCTTTGTGTTTAAAAAACAAAAAGACAAATTAACTTCAATTTTTACCTTTCTTTGTTTTATCACTCAGGTTCCCAACTTCCAAACACTAAAACTGAATACAGATATATTTTATTCATATCCTGTTTATAGTGTCACTAATTAAAAAACACAACTTTGTTTATCTGAGAAATCTAAACAGACCCAGTAATGAAAACTAATTGTTTTATATATTTGTACGATGTGTGACATGTTGGAAAACTACTGTCTTGGCAAAAATGTTTGCATGGAATGTTTTCTGAAATATGAAAGCATTTTTCTTAACATACACCTCTTGTAGTAATTGTTTATCCTCACAAGAGGCATTGTAAAGCCTGTCAAGAAAAAACAAAAAGTGTGTTATCAGAAAAATAAGTAAAAAAAACCTTCCCACAACCAGTAATAAAACTGCACCACTGTACAAACTGAGTAAATTACAGAATGTGTAAAGAGATTTCATTACCAAAAATAAAATAAAAAAAATGATTCATAGAAAATCAGGATTTTCAAAATAAAAACCCTTTTAACATATGTTTTGACAAAAGTAAATCAACTTTAAATGAACTCTCGTCACAACTCAAGCGTTTGTTTTTTACACTTTGTAGAATAGACCTCTATTAAAAACCATGCACAGATGTAACGAGTGACCAATAGGGTTGATTTATGCAAAAATGTGAAAATTAAGGGGAGAAATCTGGGCTTTTTTCTAACAATCACACAAACATTTTGCTTTGCACATTAGGGTTGGGCAAAATTGGCAAAAAAATTAACCACGATTAATTGTTGTACTTAGCCGATAACGATTAATTTGACGATTAATCCCCTGGAGTCCCTGGACACCCTTATGTCCTAGTCACATGACCAATTTAGTGGGAAAGATTTGCTCTTCGTAAAAATCTGTTCCAAATTGTCAAAATCACAAACTTAAGGCTATACTTGAAAATTTAAATTGTGTTGATAGATAAATTACAGAACTTTTGTTTAAATGTTCGTCATATTTGAAGCGGAGAAGAGCACCGAGCGGACTGACCGGAGAAACTCCAGTCAGTCTGCCTGGTGGCATTAATCGTATTAATCGTCAAATGCCAAAAAATAATCGATGTTTTTCTGACGATTAAGTGCACATGATACGATTATGCCCAACCCTACTGCACATGTAAAAATATCTGAGTGACAATTCAGGACCCCTGCTTCTCAAACACATTTTTATAAAGGAACTATTGTTTATTGTTTTTTTCCAAACAATGTGTTTATCTTTAGAGACTCCCAATGTTCCCTCCTCACCTGGAAGTCGTTGGCTTTGTTGTAGTGCACGTTGAGAGCTCTGAAAAGTTCCGATTCTCTGTCCACAGTCAGGTCCCTCACGTCCGCCACACCTTCCAGCAGAGCGTTTCTGGCGAACTTCTCCATCTGGATGTAGTAGAACTCCCTGAAGTTACTGAACCACTTGATGAGCTGGGAGGTGATGCAGCGCGTAAACTGAGGACGATACACGGAGCAGGCAGGTGAGTGAGATGATGATGATGTTGTGGTGTTTATGTGAGACGAAAATGTGTTGTCTGTATTTGAAAAATTAAACCAAATAAAGTGAACAAACACTTTTGTCATGTTGTCTTTATATGTTGGGGTCAACCTGCATGAACCTCTTATAATCCTAACAGAACAGGTCTATTTAATTTTCTTTATACTGATGTCTTGTTGAGACACCGTTGTCTCGTTTGCAAGAAACACCCATCATTTAGCCCCTGTACCTTGTTACCCCAGCCAGTTTTAACATTTTGAAGTCAAATGAAACATCTAATTGGTCAATGCTATTTAAGAGGAAGGGAACTCGAATACTAACCAAGAAAAATGTAAAACAGGAGCCACATGATCTACAGTTTCATTTTCCTACCTTTTTCAGCACATTTGAACGCCTCACACAGCCTTATGTTGCCTCTACAGAAATAAGCATTTTTCACTCATTTTCACCCAAATAAGCACGTATTAAAACAGAATATTTTTAAAGCCTTTTTTTAATAATATGTTATTAAATATGTTGTAGGAAATTACAAAAAGACAGGTTTTTACCATAATGGAATATCATAAGGTAATTCAAACAAAGTTTTTTTTTCATTTATTTATTCTTTATTTTCACAAAAAACAGAAAAAAACAAAGGTTACAAACTGCATAAAAAATTGTAGTTTTGTTTACAGGTGCATATCAGAATAAAGGTATGAATAATGTCCCGCCTTGAAACAACAGTAATTTTTTAATGCACTAAACTGATGTATTTTGCTTATATTTGTGTTTTATGATGGTAGATTGTGGCGAGGACAACAGATGGATATGAAAATTGGCTTTTTATTAAACCTGAAACATGTAATACATGAAAAACTAGATAAATCTGTATTTTCAAGTGTTTGGTTCAAGAAACTAAGGTTTCCAATACAAATATATTCTTGTTTTTGCATGACAATGTTATTTTGTTCGTCATGGTACAATGTTGCGTTTTATTTATTTTTTTATTTTTTTGTTAATGTTATCGTGACTTAAAACAGCACAATTTTTTTCCCTATTGGTACATGATGTGTACCATTGATGGTCACTTCTGTTTGCTCACCTGCACATCATGGAAACACATCCTCAGAACCAGAGAGCTCGGGTAGCGAGTGTAGAAGAACATGAGCTTTGCTTTCTTTAGGTGGATTGTGGTCAAACACTCCTGAAATACACCAGAGTTGAGGAGAAAACACATTCTAAACCTAAAGGAATTTTTTTTGTTTTTCTTGTGGTTTTCTATGAGAGTTCAGAAAATCAGCAGGAGGTCATGTGAAATTACAAATATCAAGGTGACTTTAAAAGAAGATGTCTACATAAATCAAAAGGATACATTCAGCATGTACTGACTGGTTTTCTCCAGGTTGTCAGATTCCACCTTCACATAGGGGAGACTCGGGCTTTCCAGAAGTTGATCCATGGGCACGCTGTTTGTTTGGGGGCTCCTCACAGATCTGGAGTTGACCTTTGACCTCACTTTAAACGGATTCCAGTGTCCAACCTCGGAGCCTTCATCCTGCCAGCGTCTAAAAGCGATTTGATGCTCGGTGCTGTTGTGTCGCTCTACGTGCAGAGCGGACTCGTGGCGGGGGGAACTGGACTCGAGGACAAAGCTGTTGGTTGGTTCCTGGTCGAGCTTTTGAACTACCAGGGACAGAGCTTCAGTTTGGACGTCTAGCAGCTCTGCGCTCTCACAACAGGGAACTCTTAACTTGCTCTCTTTATACGCTGCTGCTTGAAGTGGCACACCAGTTTCTGAGTTTTCCCCGTGGCTCGTTGGTGTCTGTAAAAGTGGCAAGCTTTTGAAAACGGAGTCAACGCTGCTACTCACAGCTCGGGACAGTTCGTACTTCAAAATATCTGCCATCAGCTTGATTCGATCGGGTTTAGACTGAAAGTAGTTCACCAGCTTCACCTTCGTCCATCCTGGACTTTCTCTACTTTCAAACTCTGAGGCGGAATCACGACATCTGTCGTTTAGAGATGGTTCAGGAGAATCAACCCATCTCTGAAATTTCTCTTTGTTTGTGTCTTCAGTTTCTCCCTCTGTGTGACTGAGCTCCGTCCTTAGGTGCTGATGTTGACTTTCAGCTTTTCTTGTCATCTGGTTCTGACTCGAGCTCTCAGACCTGATTTGTTCCCTGTGTTTCTGGTGTAAAGGTTTGTGAATTCCTTCATCTTCCTGCATACAGTCAGACTGATTGAAGGGATGTGTTGTCACATCTGTGCATGTTATGCCTTTGATGATGTTTTCCACTCTGGCACGCTTGGCTTGGTGGCTGCTCTTTATACCCCAATCATAGTGGTGATGGTGAGAACCAGGTGGAGTTAAATGGGCAGCGCAGCTTTCTTTGGATGCATTGAGCTCCAGCTGGCTGGAACACATCAATCTCGAGCCAGTATTTTCATCACTGTAACAGGATTTATCCAATAGCCCTCTCCTATCCCTGACGCTTCGGTTCCCAGGTTCAGAACCACCTGATGCATTGAAATTTGATGCTGAAGTGTCCGGCAGAACGGAGTGGAAATGCTCCGCGGTGCAGCCATTGAAGCAAGCACCACTTGAAGAAAACATGGCTTTGCTCCAAAGACTGTGAGTCATATTTAATAGCTTTAAAAGAAATGTTCAAAGTTCTCATCATTAATAACACATAGATATTTTAATTTCTGCAGAATATACTCAGTCACAAAGCTATATACATTAAAGCAGCTGAAACACTTACCTGCTGCCTGCAGTGAAGCTGCAGTCCTGAAGCTTGAATAACAGGAGGACACAGTTATTTGTAGGGAACCTCCAGACCCCTAAACATCCAGGAGGCGTGGTCTAAAATGACAGCCAATCCCATACATGCCCGCTATAATTTATTTTATTAATTTATTTATTTACTGTTTTTTAACCAGGCAAATCCCATTGAGATCTCTTTAAAAGAGGCCCGGGCCTGAAGGCAACCTATTGTACATGTTTAATTATTGTACATGTTTTATAATAATGTGACAAGCCTGATTAAATAATTTAACTTTTAGAATAAATTATATATTTTAATATGAATTAATTAGATGCATTCATTTGATTAGTTTATCTCAGACACTACTTTTGTGGAAAACGGAAGGTAAAAGTGAAAGTTTTAATAATGGTAGTCAAATTAGGCAGAATGGTACAGTCCGGTTATCGTGATTTTTTTTATTTTGTTGACAAATTTACATAAATTACATAATTTCCGTTTTGTCTCTATAAAAATACTAACGTGATACAATACGTAGTGAAGTATGGTTAACATTATCACCCCACGCCGTACTGCGAACCTCCCTCTTGTTTCTTTGCAGTGGTTCCTTCCAGAGTGGGAGCGACCCCGGACCGGTGTTCTACTGAACAATGTACCCGGTCCGTGGGAGGCGTATTTGAATGCGTTTGTACACTAATAAATTCAAAATGGCACGATTTTAATATCAGAACACGATTATTTATACTCTTTTTGTTGTATCTAAATATTGGAGATGATTTTCTTAAAAGGTTAGGGTGTTTTGTTTTCAAGAAAGTAAGTAAACAGCCATTTGGGGCATTAAAATATCATTCAGTCGTCTAAATGAGGAACAATAAAGTAGTTGTTTTTTCACGAGTGTTCAAAAACACTAATCATATTGTCATTCATCAGATTCACTATGAAAACTGCATTTAAGAGCGCTTGCACGAAAGGGTGTTTTTCACAGCAGGGATACGCTTTTCGATATAACACCACTTAGCGGCGCGCTCCCGTATCCGCTGCCTTCAACTCCGGGCAAGGGGCCAAAAAACACAGAAAAGGTGGTCACCTGTTAACAAGATGCTGTCACGGTCCCCATGCGTGTACCGCACGCTTGGCCGTTCTCTGTCAGCGGCGAGCCAGGTAGGTGGGAAGGAAAGTGGCGTTTCTGCACATTAAAGAACCGGTTAGCGTAAAGCTAACAGCAGGCGGCCTCGCGCGCACTAATGGAAAGAGTCAAGTTTGCCAAAAGCTCAAATCAGTTTGTACCCCTAAAATGGTTTAAGACAATTTGTGTTTATAGTCACTGAGCATGCTTTATCAGTCAAACTGTTTAATTTGACTATCAAAGAAAGCAAATCTCTCCTTAGCTTAGGTTTTATATTTTATTTGTCTTTATGGTGAAGCTTAATGATTATCTGCTAGAACAGTAATTGCATATTTTAGACACTTAGGTTTGGCTATTTTATTTGTTTATATATCGATTAGTTTGATAAAAGACATTGAGTTAAAACAAAACAAGGTTATTTGACCCTTTTTTATTCAGTGGTTCCATAAGTTTTTTTGTTTAATTTCAGTGAATTGTTTTTAATTTGTGCAAATTAACTGTCCTCAATGTTTGCTCATAACCTGATGAACTTTGTATTATTTTTGTCTGTTTCTGCTCACTCCACTTTCCTCAGACATCTGACATTTTTATGTCTCCACAAAACAAACACACACACACACACACACCCTTGGATGACTCATAACATCATTATGATGCAGCTCTGCCACAGCTTCACCACTGGAAAATGAATTAGTTTAACTGACTGTTCAGGCTTTGAAGGATTTTAGATGGGCAGATGTAAAATATTCTTACCGTTATGTTAGCAGCATTCTCTTCTAGCACCATCTGATCTGTTATTTAATAAATATGTCCAGCTATTCTGCTGTTCAGTGAGGCATTCATGGAAAAAAATGTGTTTTGTCACAACCATAGCTTAGCAAATCAAGCTAATCTTTAGCTAAATGGTTCACATGGCTTAATATTAATAGTAAATCATCAACATTTAATGTGTATATTTTTAGACCTGGATGGATTACCTTTTGTGTAACGGTATATAGGTGTATATGTATGTATGTATGTATGT